TTCAAGAATCGTCATCGTTTCGTCCAAGCCCTTGGTGGCAGTTGTTGGACCGGTTTCTTTCTCTTTCTTTGCTGCTGGGAGTTCAAGGGTGAAGGACGGGCTTCGGCCTGTCTCTTCACTGACTGTCTCTTCACCTACGACCTCGTTTCATGATGCACGTTTAACTTTCCTGAAAAGTCCGATGATATGGAATCTGATTATAGAAAGCCACTGTATTTTTTTATTGAATATATTCATTCTATATGCAGTTGCTGAAAATTCATCCTGGGTGGAATGATTTTTTTAAGCAAGAATCATGAACGATCTCATTGTGCAATTTAAGACTCATCCATTGTCTATCGCCACGTGGTGCACTGCTCCAAATTAATTCACTGGTAGAAGCTTCAAAATCAAAAGAAATTTCAAGATAAGTATATTCCTGGTCTACATATATCTTCGATTCCAGGTTTTTCGTGATTTATAGAAAGTGATGCAAATGGATAGTGCTCTGTAGTGTATCGATAAACGAGTGGACGCTCTGTATTTATAGTAGGACTATAGTTATGATCTGATTATTTAATTTTCTTGTTTATTTGTGTGAGCTCAACAATAAAATTTTGATAAGAAAGATAAATAGAGTAAATTGTAGACGAATAACTTGTATTTTTTTTTTCTTCTTCAACTATCACAACGTCTGGGGTAAGTACTTTATTTTGCTATCCTCTGTAGGTCACATATTTTATCCCTATCATTCGGGTTATTGCGGAAACAACGTGATGTACTCTTAATCATTGTTATAATTTCATCGCTGATAAAATTGATATTCAAAATTTTGGTTATCACTTATACACCTGAATAATTATATTAAATATTTCTCATAGCCTACAGAAATTAACACATTTTTCATTACATAAGAAATTAAAATATATAAGTATTTTTACTACATACAAATATTTTCACTACATATGGTGCCGTGACAAAAGAAATAACTTAAAATCATTTAGTTCAGGTTGAGAATTCAAATAAAATGTGTGACCTATAGTATATTTGCTACACATATGATTTATATTGTTGAAAATTTATGATAAATGATAGGTAATATGCCATGAAAGAGTAATTCTATTTTGGATAATTCAAAAAATTCAATTTCATATGTATTGTTATATATATGTGCATATTTAAAGAAAGTTTTAAGATATTTGAATCAAAAGCTGATTTCAGTAATTTCATTGGATTGTGGTATGTAATGATAAAATAATGTTCAGCAGTATTAGAATCCAGAAGTGTTAATGATCAATGTACTTATATTGCATCACTAATTTGATATATGCATGGTTAAAGTTACAGGAGATCCTAATTAATTACTAAATTAAAAAAAATAAAAAAAAAATTACCTTAACTTTGCTATCTACTCTTATATGCATGTTTGGTAAATGTATATGTAAATTATCAGAGAGAGTGCTAAGTGTTTGTGTAAAATAATGTAGATCTCAATAACATTAAAATAGAAATAGCAGATTGTAAGGTAATGCAACATAAGTAACTATATTTCTTCATCCATGTCAAAGCTTAAAGGTAGATCTAACACTGGTATGGCAACTTCCCTAGCTTCTGCTCTGCCCACATTTAGTGGCAACTTATCTGAAAATGTAAATTTCTTTCTTGATCAAATAAATAGTGTTGCTAAATTAGAAAAATGGTCAGATGAAAAGAAAATAATCATTCTGAAAATAAACTGTAGGGATAAAGCTCTAGATTTCCTAATTAATGATCCAAGAGTGGCTAAGGAAAATAAATTTGAAAATTTAGAAAAATTATTAAAGAATAAATTTGCACGAGTTGAATCCTTTCAGGACATTCTACAGCAATTCTCAAACATTTCTCAAAAGTGTAACCAATCTGTTAGGGAATTAGCTGACGAGATTACTACAACAGCGACAAAATACATAAATGAAGATTCGGTTGAGGATTCTAGTTTACATAAATTAAAAGAGAAAATGAAGCTCACTAAATTTCTTGAGGCCCTCAGAACAGACATTAGGATTGAAGTTAAGAAATTAGGTCCATCTTCCTTTGATAAGGCTGTAGAATTGGCAAGTAATATAGAAAATGCATTGAATGATGAGAAAACATATTTGAACAGTATAAATGTTGAGCAAAATTTAGAGATTAATAATCTTCTCAAAGAAAGACTTGAACAGAATAAAATTATTCAGGAGCTAACAGATAAAGTAAATCAACTTTCTCAAAATAAGCCTATAAACACATCTTATACAAGAATAAATCACAATGCTTCTACATCTCAAAATTCTAGCAACTTTAATAGTGTATCTTGTCATATATGTAGCAAAAGACACTTAACAACAGATTGTTGGTATTTTCCTAGGCAAGACCAGCATAATTTTAGAAACAAACATTCAGGGGACACAGACAATTTCGAAACACTTGGCGGAGGAACTATCATCCTTACAGAAATAATAGTCAATACAAAAAAGGTCAGAATAAGCATTTAAACTAGCTAAGGATTCTTGCCAGATATATTACAACAAAAATTTTAGACCCCTTGCAGGAATCCGCAGAGACTGGGGTTATAAAGAACACCTGTATAGACATCATAATCCAAAAAAGATCCAAAGTAACAGCAATAATGTCCAACACAAGTTTGCAAAAAATAAAAGATGTAATAATAGAAACTCAACCAAATTGTTGATGTCTTGTAACTCAGAAAATTCTAATTATCTGCCAATAATCAAACTTAAAATTGGTTCTCAGACTTATGAAGCTCTTCTTGATACTGGTGCAAATTTATCTTTAGTCCAACCAGATGTTATTGAGGAAATTAAACAATTCACTAAAGTTGAATTTGTTTCTCGGATGGTAAGAATAAAAACTATTGAAGATTCATGCATTCCTTACATGTCTGCAGTTAATTTAAAATTCAAAATTCAAAGTAAATGGTTCACTAATTATTTTATGTCACCCAAAACAATTGGAATTCTACTTATCAGATAATCCTAGGTTATGACTTCATTCAAAGTAACAAAATTTTGTTAGATTCCATAAATAAGAAACTCATAGTAGATAATACTCATTTGGACTTTGAAGAAAATTATCCCAATAAAAAATTAAGCAACTCAGTTAATGTAAGAAGAAAAAATTGTAATTTAAACTCATTAAGAATGGTTTCTAATATAACTGTCCAGCCAGGTCAATCTCAAATCATTTCTTTAGCTGTTCCTGAAGCTTTAAAACAATTTAAAGAAATTTTGCTTTCTTTCTCCAAAGCCATCAACAAAATAAGTTCCATATCAATGAATCTTTACATATAGTTGATTGTCACAACCACATTCAAACTATTGTTGAAAACAACACCAATGAGAAATTAAATTTTAGGAAGAATTCTGTTATTGGAACTGCTGCTGTGCCATTTCACTTTGAGGATATTGTTAGTCCCAAAAATCATGAGACTTTTAAACACAAATGAACAACGAATGATAGAATTGCTAATGAATAACTATGCTGTGATCTAATATGAATGTAATTTAAACTTCTTCACAATTTCCCAATTCAAACTAGACCTTACCCTATTCCTAAAATTGCAAAACAGTATGCTCAACAAGAAATTGCAAAATTATTAGAAGCAGGCATAATAGAACCCTCTTCTTCAAGTTATAGTTTTCCTGTAATATTTGTTAGGAAAAAGAATTTACCTGGTGAAGATAAAAATGCACCAAAATTTCGTATGGTTGTAGATTATCGTCTATTAAACTGTATCACAGAATCATACAAAATTTGTTTACGTTTACCAAAATTTCTGAGATTTTGCATAACATTGCTGGTAGGAAATTGTATTGTGTACTGGATTTGAAGTCAGCCTTTTTCCAGATCAATTTGCAGGACTCTGATAAAGAAAAGTTGGCATTTTGCACCGAACTGGGTAATTTTCATCCTTGTAGACTTCCCTTTGGAGCTCGCAATAGCACTTCTTATTTCCATACATTAATTTCAAAATGTTTAAATGACATTAAAGGTAGTAATGTTCAATTTTTTCTAGACGACATTATTATTGCAGCTGATAGTATGAGTGAGTTAAAAGTAATTCTTCAAAAAGTGTTTGACAGATTAAAATCATTTAATTTAACTCTAGATCCAGCTAAAGTGCAGCTCTGTAAATCTGAAATAACTTATTTGGGTTTCAATATTTCACAAGCAGGTTTTTCTCCTTCTGAAGAAAATATTTCAAAGGTTACAAGATTTCCTATTCCAAAGGATGTAAAACAAGTTCAGGCTTTTCTTGGCATGATGAACTATTTTAGACATTTAATCCATAATTTTGCTGAGATCACTCAGCCAATAGTACACTTAACTAAAAGACATGTTCCCTTTGTTTGGAATCAAGATTGCCAAGATGCTTTTGATAAATTACAATCAATAATGTTGGACAAACCAACTATAAGGAACATTGATGATAATCATGAGATATTTTTGATCACTGATGCTTCTAAAGTAGCTATGTGTGGTATTCTGTTACAAAAGATTGATGATAAATTCTTTCCTGTAGAATTTTATTCGAAACTTCTCACTCCTGCTGAGTCTAGATACCCATCGATCAGGCGTGAGCTTTATGCTATTTTTTCTTCTGTCAAGCATTTTTATGAACATTTATATGGCAAAAAATTTACTATTTTAACTGATGCTAGACCACTCACTTTTCATATGCAGCTGGATAAGCAGCCTGACATTGTTGCCAGATGGTTGTTGTATTTACAAGATTTTGATTACTCTCTAAAACATATACCTGGTTTTTCCAATCCTGCAGATTTTTCTTTCTAGAGTTCCTGAAGCATCTCATAGTGTAAACAATATCAACTTATTTCATTCAGATAATACTCAGTTAAGCATCCAAAATATAGTTAATCACCAAAGAAATGACAAAAATATTAAGGATATCTTAAGCCAAATTAACAATAATAAAGCTGATATTTTGTGAAAATATTTTATTGATAAAAAAATGGTGTAGTAATGATAAAATTAAGACCTAGAGCGCATCATTTAAAGACAAGGCATTTAGAAAATAAAATTCTACTTCCAAATTCTTTAGTAAAACCTTGTTTAGAGATTGCTCATGCTCCGCATTTTGGTACTAGTAAAACTTATGAATTCATTAAGAAAAAGTATTTCTGGAAGGGCATGTTTTTAGATACAAAAAACTTTTGTGAAAAATGTCAACAGTGTTTGGAGAATAAACCAAGGTCATGTAAAACAATTACAAGCAATATAAAAAAAATCTGATTTAGCACCTGGAGAAATGTTAGCAATTGACATTGTGGGTAAATTGCCCAGATCACATGATGGCAAATTTTTCATTCTAACTATTATTGATCATTATTCAAGATATTTAGAAGCTATTCCTCTGGCAAATATTACATCTGCTACAATAATAAGGTGTATGAATCTTTATTTTTCAAAATTTGGTATTCCAAAAGTAATTTTATCTGATAATGCTTCAAATTTTTGTTCAGCTGAATTTGAAAAATTTCTAAAAGATCTCAATATTGAACACCGAAAAAGCTCCATTTATTATCCACAGTCTAATGGAATCATAGAAAGAGTTCATCGAACTATGAAAGAAAGCATAGCTTCTTTATCCAATAAGGTAATCGAATGGTCAGATAGATTAGCTTTTTTCAAACTATATTACAACCATTCTAAACACATAGTGACAGGTTTTACTTTTACTCCCGCACAGTTATTTTTTGGGCGAGAACTCAATACACCTCTAGATACAAATAATGAACCGGCAACGGTAGATAATCCTTCACAATACTTGTTACGTCAGAGAGAACACATTAAAGCAACTAGAGAATTAGTGAAACAAAACGAAGAAAAATATTTTCAGTCTCAAAATAAAGTTGTTAAAGGCAGAGAACCACCAAAATTTAATATTGGAAGATGAGGTATTTTTTAAAGGCTTTACAACCACCTCATGCTTTTCAGCCAGCCAAAATTCAATGGAACCTTTCAAAATAATAAAAATTTTTCGAAATAAAAACTACTTAATTCAAAACATCGAAGACCACAAAACTAAAAAAAATTCATTGTAGCAAATTATTTAAAAGAGTTGATCCAAGGTTCAAGTTTGATTAATTAAGAACATTTATTTCATCGAGCTTGTTTTTCTTGTTCACTAAGTTAGAAAAAATAAATAAATAGAAGATATACACACATTTGTAAGTGTTAGGAATTTAGTGGATTTATTTCCAACAAAATTTTTTTTTTTTTTGAGATTTCATGATTAGTTTGGGTGTCGGTTGGCCACCTTCACTCATACGTTTGGTTGGCTGCAGGCTGGTCCGGGTTGACTAATGTCATGGAATTTACAAAAGAAAAAAAAAAGTGTGCAGTACACTTAGTGATCATTACAAGTAACGAGCTAGACATGAAAATTGTGCTACTAAAACAAGCTTGAGTAGTAAATATATATATATATATATATATATATATATATATATATATAACAATAATAAAAAGAGGAAGAAGAAAATTAATGTTTTAAAAAAATGAAATTGTAGAGTAATTGGTCTAGATGAATTTAGTAATTTCAAGGGCAAATTGATGTCATCCAGAAGAATTTATAGAATCTGTATAATTAGAAAAACTTGTCAAAAAAATGATCATTAATGCAGAGTTGTGTTTAACAGTGAAAATGTATGAATGTAAAAATAGGTCTTAGCTTACAATTTCCATTTACATAGAGAAAATTGTAACTTGACTACAGATTATAATGAAAGTGTATGCTGTAACTATATGAGTAACTTGTATGATATGTATTAGTTATTAATTTTTGACTTTACTTCATATGTGTAGCACTTATCCCAGACAGTGAAATTATGATAAAATAATTTTTGACTATTTTTCATTTGATTTAACTATTATACCAGATCATACTTGTAATGAGTGTTGTGCGTCATTAAATTTATCGTGCAATGAACTGTGTTTCGGTGAAATTTATCATGCAGTGTTCAGCGTCAGTGAAGTGCATTTATCATGCAGTGTTCATGCGGTGATCTGTGCTTTTTCTTTGGCCGGAGGGAATGTGCTAGCAAGCCGGCATCTATCATCAAACTATCGCTTCAAGAATCGTCATCGTTTCGTCCAAGCCCTTGGTGGCAGTTCTTGGACCGGTTTCTTTCTCTTTGCTGCTGGGAGTTCAAGGGTGAAGAACGGGCTTCGGCCTGTCTCTTCACTGACTGTCTCTTCACCTACGACCTCGTTTCATGATGCACGTTTAACTTTCCTGAAAAGTTCGATGATATCGAATCTGATTTATAGAAAGCCAACTGTAGTTTTTATTGAATATATTCATTCTATATGCAGTTGCTGAAAATTCGTCCTGGGTGGAAT